ACTGTATAGGCCTCAGATAGTTGGGACAAATATAATTAACACATTTTTAGAAATGTCTAGCTATTACCAAATATGGCTTTTTTAAAATATGCATAGTAATATCATGTTAAGGTCCAATAATTTTGTGGCCTTTGGGAACTAGAAGTGCCTGTGTTCCAGTTGAAAACTAGGAAACTATCTTGCAGTGGAAGAAAACTCCTATTTCTAGTCCTAATGGGTCTTGTGATATCAGACCTCAAACCTACCACTGGTTCAGGACTGAATATTGTCTGCTCAGAGGGGAGTAATTTCCTGGCACACTTATTTTTTAATGGCATCTGTTTTAAGCCCCTCAATGGTTTTAACATTTAGAAATGGCCCTCACAGAGATGGGTTAGTTAGGAGAGTGCAGAAGGTTAAATGTGTCACTTGTGTATCACCATCACATGTGGGGTGTGTGTGTGCATATGTGTGTATGCACACATATGTTTATATGAAACATATCTGTCTCACACACTTATAATGCTTTGGGATGGCTACCTTAGTTGTGAATGGCTGTGCAGGGCTAGAACCCATTTGGCAGTCAAGGAGGGGTGAAGTTATGTCCCTGCCTGGGCATTGTGTCAGCATAAAAGGGAGCTGGACCATGTGAAAGGGAATGGGAGGGGCTGTCCATTGAGTGTGTTGCCTTGTCTTCCCTGAGACATTGCACATTCTCAGGCAAGGCCTACAGCAGGTTCACAGTCCTTCCTCAGCAATCTACCACCATCCAGGAATGTGGCTTAAAGCCATAAGAGAGTCCTTAAGTGAGTTCCTTTGTGGTTTATGTCAAAATATTTTCAGTTCTATGAAGAGTTGTTTTTGTTTTTTTACTAAATCATTGCGGTTTCTCTATAAGTACAGTTCTGTAACAAAATATCAATAGTAACAATGATCACTTCAATAAAAAGAAAATAATAGCTCAGAAACGATGCTAATTAGCAGTTTTTAGTATAAATGGCACATATTCTATTTGGGGTTATTGTATAAAACAAAAGGCCTTAAGATGGCAGTGTTTCCCATTTTTCTTTTAAAAATAGATTTAAAAATTGATATTAACAAAGTAGGGGAAAATCAATATAACATTAGCTTCTGGGCACATACAGTAGATCTCTGAATCATGAAATTTTATTTCTATTATATAAAGAACATACAGAAGCAAAAGACAACAAAACTGTAAAGTTAATTGTGTTTATACGTGTGTATCTTCAAAAATAAATACAGCATACATTCATGGTTCTGTAAGTTCTCTACAATATTTAAAAATGTAATTTACATAAATAAACAACTTCTTAAGTTGCCTGAATTTTCATGCCTGAGAATTACATGGTTTTTTACAGTATTCCCTAAAAGTAAGCAGATTTGTAGTATTTTGGATGAGTGTCTAAGGGGGCAAGTGCCAACTTACGCTTATGTGTGAATAATTACAAAAAACATCACTAAAAGAATGTCACGGTTGCAAAGTCAAGCACTCAGTAGTTAGAATATAACAGAATTAAGATCCCCCCCTGCAACAATGCAGCCATCGAAGTCTGAGCCTATCTTCATATGGGAAGTCTGTGGCAGAGTCTGAAATAGAACCCACCTTTTCTGGACCTCAGTTCAGTGCCTTAAATGCAAGAGAATTTCCTTTTACTTCTTACAGTTCTCCACCTCATTCTCTGTCCATCCCATGCACTGAATGAGGCAGGTGTCTTTAGAATAGGCAATATGTGTTCATGCAATTAAAAGACTATATCATAATGTATATACACAAATGGGGCTGAATTAAGGTTGCAACCTCTCAGTTCAAGGGAAGGACATGCTACAGAATTTGCCTACCTCCTAAGGTAGGAGCATGTTAAATATTAAGGATTGTGAAGTGCACAGAATTATTCACACCAGTCAGTGGAAGAGGTGAGAGTAAAATTCATGGTCTCCTCCTGGCTGTGGGCACATACACCTTCCCATAGCCCAACAGGGTTGCTGCATCTCTGCAGCATCCACCTGTCCAGGGTGGGAAGTTTAATTGGAGCTGAGAGCATACTTAATGTATCTGGAGCTTAGTGGAGATGGAGTGTTCTGAGATTTTAGTAGTAAGCCTCTAAAAAGCTCTAGCTAGCATGTGCAAATGGCCATTTTCACAGGTTTATAACTTGGCCATATCTGGGTGAATTTTAATGGGGACAGGAAAAGACCCATTACTGACCCCAGAATGACCCCCCCTTCCTAAATTTCAAGTTTCAGCTTCAAACTCTATGTACACTAAATCTTTTCAAATAAATGGGTGAAAAAAATTTACATTGGCAAAACAACCTATTTTCCCAAAACTTCATTCTTGGAACTAGAATGAACATTTTTCTGAAAGGTACACACTCATCAACAGCGCAAAGCAGAGAGCAAGCATGAAAAATTTCACCAGAACATTTAAAATTGGGAAAAAGATTATAAGGAACTGAAAACAGGGTATTAGAATGGAAAGTGTTAAGCAATGTTAATGAAAGGTGTTGTAGCAAGCTCCACCTATAATATATATAATGCTGTTTTGTTTCACTAATGGATCATCAATAAAAAGGCTGTGCAATTAAAAACAATTAAAAATAAAACTCAGGAGGATACGCTTTCATTTAAATAGTGACTGGTTAGCAGAGAGATACGTATTTTCCTTAAACATTAATGACCTATAACTGAGTTCTAAAATATCTTTCTTTGATCACTTTGCTTTCAAGTTGGGAAAAACAAACTCTTTTAATTCTCATTTTTTTGAATTCATGAGAGTTCAAGATTGTTCTTAAAATTAATGGCGATAGAAAAGCATGACAAACTAATTTAAGTATGTGTAAGGAGCATAAATTAAATTGCCTCTTTATTTTTCAAACTGTTTTCTCCATTGATGAGGTTGTTCATATTTAGGGATGTTATTAATCCAGTCATTCAGTATTTATTTTCAGTAGCCAGCTTTGTCCCAGAATGAATCCTTATGTGGGTGAGATTGGATCAGGCTAGTGTAAAGGGGTAATAGGTGAAGGAGAGGAAGGGGTTCTTTATATCAGCATGGGATATGGGCTAATAGAAGGGTACACAAGATGGCAGCCCTCCACACGTTGGAGTAGTGGGAAGGAGTTGATGGGTTTCTTTGCAATATGGATGGAAGTGGGAAGAAGCCAGCTCTGGTGGACGTAAGGCATTAGGCATTATGATACAATTTTTAATTACATTATCATATAGTGCTTTTGTGTAAGACTCCTGCCTCAGTTAGTACATAGAATGGATGGTGCTTAGTGAGCAGCTTTTCAATGTTTTATCTTCCGTCTTCAGTGTGTGGCCCCATGTCTTATTTACTGTACACACCTCACACAGTGATTAGAGTACAATATTAATTGCCTCAGATGCAATGTTGCTGCACAAAGAAAGTTGTTGGGCTCGGCATTAGTGTGCTTAACTATCCATGGGAAAATTCATCATAGTTTCCAAAAAGGGGGTTTGGCTCCTCTTCTGAGTCATAAGGAAAGATTTCTAATTCAGCTGTTGCCATTTAACATGACACACATGTCTTCAAATGGGAGGGGAGTAGCTTTTAGTTATTCCCCATTCTGGAGGTGAACTAGTTCAGACTTAATTTGTATAAAATTTCAAAATTAAATTATGTGATTTTTATCAGTACAGAAAAATCTTAGACAAATTGACATGATAAGCAATACATTAATCGTAACTATAAATATTGAGAGGAATAAAAAAGATATATTGTATATTGTAAATATACAAACTGCAAGGCAGACATGCATACAAAAATACAAGCCAGCAGGAAAGTACAAACTAGTTTGACTAAAGAGTTAAAATTCACATATTTTTCCTATGCAGGTGACAGAAAAAAAACAAGAGTTAGAGAAATGTTTGAAATTGTCCCGGAAGCTACGAAAGGAAATGAATGCTCTGACAGAGTGGCTGGCAGTGACAGATGCAGAATTGACAAAGAGATCAGCGGTGGAGGGAATGCCTACTAATTTGGATGCTGAAGTTGCCTGGGGCAAGGTAATAATATAGAGTACTGTACATTTACATATGCTTCACTTACATTTAGCTTTCTTGAATATGCATAAAACAGTGACAGAAATCTGGAAACTTGATTAGTTCAAAATTGTGAACAACATTGTTACATAATTATGATAACATTGTGACTTTAAAAGGTTTTAAGCATCATATTATTGCACATATCAGTAATACGTTAAACCTGTCGGATAGCAGTCATATTTTAGTGACGTATGTTGTTTTCACAGAACAAGAATTTGAGTTTAGGGTGATTAAAATCAATCTATACATGTAGATAATGCTATTATTTGGCATAAATTGTTTGGCCTTAAATTTCCAGTTAAAAACTTGGGGAGTGTGGGGGAAGCTATTTACTAACATTAATGAGATTTGAAACCCACAGCTATTCCAAAGCCCAATACTACTAGAAAAACAACTATCATGTATTTATAGTTTCTCAAGCATGGACTCCCATTGACATTCCATTAACTGTGAAACTCATTGGAAGTATCTATGTGTTTGAGTCATTATTTGTAGTTTCAGTCTCCTGACGTAAGACAATGCCATTATTTTTAAAGTTAAGCTCTCAAAGCTTTTAAGGTGCTCACTCAGTTAATACAACATTTTTGTTCACTATAATTTGATATGGTCAAAGAAATTGCAGACTGCATTTTCACTAGGCCAGCAGACACATCAAACATCACGCATCATGTATGCCTGCTAAAATGTATCTGAGGGTGAAATAAATAACCTAAAATAGCAAAGCCTTTCTAAGATAAATCTTGTTTGAAAATAGCTCCCCAATTTTACTGATCAAGGCCAAGCTGAATTACTTGAATTTCTAATGCAGTCTTTCCATTTTTTGCAGATAACAGGACTGATAAAATATCAGCAGAATAAATATTGTTTTATATATGTTCAGCCATCCCACATCACAACAGTGCTTTTTTTTGTTTGTTTTTTGCTGTGGGTGCTCTAGTTTTCCCTTCTTATTTGTGACTCTCAAACTTTTTCTTCTTAAAGTAATTTTATCCCTGACTCTAGGGCTATCCATGAAATAAAATAAACAAATAAAATAAAAGGATCTACACTACAAAGGACATTAAAAAGCATGCTCAAAAACAAAAAAAACATTGAAGTTGGGGGTGGTATAAAATACACAAAATCCTTTTGGCAAAATTGAAATAAAATATTTGTATGCGTAACCGACCAACCTGTGTATACTTTACACTGCTTGCTTTTTTACTTTTACACAATAACTATAATTACATTGTAGTTACACCACAGTCAAAATGTAATTTGAGAGTAATAATCCATATTATTAATCTACTGGTTCTAGGATATTGTACTAGGTACACATATAAGAAAAAATATGTGTAATTACAGTGAAATGTATTGAAGATGAAACTAGATTTCGTACAGGGACCCACACAAGGTAAAATAACACTATCTACTTACAGCTGCTATAGGCTAAAGAACATACTGCTTTTATTATTGGAACAGCAAACTCAAAAATGGTGACAAAACCCCCACCCACAAACAGGAAGTAAGGTCAAAGAGTGAAACAGATACCCAGCTCATAATATTCTGAGTCACTCAATTAGCGCTTTAATAGCCACTTTGATGTAGTAAAGAATTAATTTTGTTATATAGTTGAACTTCTGGTTATATGTATGTTTGGTAATCACAAGTATCAAAAAGTATAACCACGATGTTGCTACCATTTAATTACTGTCACCATATCCAAATAAGAACATGCACAAAACCAATCATCATCATTACAGACATGCATATAAAATCTGACATAGATGAATCTTTTAAGGGTTTGGTTTAAATATGCATTCAAAATTTTGGCAAAGAAACTGCAAAACTCCATTTAGCTACCCCTTTTCTGTAACTTTCACTTCATGCAGGTATCTCACCCCTTGAGCCTATCTTTACCTTTTCAGCTGCGAAGTGTGCTTATTTTTTTGTGCAAGCCATACAAAATAACTGAGTTTTAATTATGTGAAACTCAGTGATCAGTATATTCAAACTATACATATCTTCTGATTATGCCCATATCCAAAGCTTAAGCTAGTCATTCAACAACATGCAAGAAACAAGGAGAACTCTGAAGCTATATTGTTATATATAAATTGTAGATGCTTACAGGCCAACATTTTTCTAATTCCCCCTGCTCTCCCCCCCCCCACCCCCCGATTAGTTTTGTTCAGTAGACCTGTGCCTAAAAAAAAGTGAAAGATCTTACTGAACTTCACCTTGTACTGTAGATATATACGGACACCATTGTCTATACTCCTTGAGAAGAGTGCAGTGGATATGGGGTTTGGAACAAGATTTGGTTTTGATTTACCTTTTTTTTAATAACTACTTAACCATATGACGTGACCTGAGCCTTTTTTCCTTAGTTTGAAAGGTTAATCTTCTAGTGGCATATGCTTTGCTGCCACACTAATCAAGTGAATAGGAAAAGGATTTGCCTCTGTTTGTAAATGCTTTGAAAGGTGCATAAGCTTTTCTTGTCATCATCCTAGAATAATAATATACTTTTTAATCATCTAGAATCACAGCAAGAGACATTTGAGAATGTAATTCTAATTATTTATTATTATTATTTATTTTACTTTTAAGTTTACCCCTGGTTTGTGAAACCCCCATTTCTACTCAGTATTTTTCATGTTCACCTACTTCTTTTTCCTGTGGTGAAGTCTATATATTACATCAGACTGCATGAAGTTTTGGTTAGTCCTGTGATCTCATCCTCCATAGCAAATGACAAATGTCAGATTTTCAAGGGAAGAAGTATGTAATCATGCAGAACTAGCCTGCCAATCACCTGGTGCATTTTCCAGTGAAGAAAACAAAAACACTGTTTGCTAATGCTGAACTACACAGTACCTTTCTGCTGAAATGGAGATGTAGCTGCATTACCATCTGCATATTTCCCTGCGTGCTCAGGGAAGCTAGTTTATTTTTTATTTTACCAAATAATTCTGATGCATACACCCTTGAAGCAGGTTAAATGGAAAGGTTTGTCTTTAATTCATTTTAATTTAACTACTAGATATGAACCTTAATGCTCTAAAAGTTGCATAATTAGGGTTTGCGGTCTGCTGATTAGTGCAGTTACACAGTAGGAAGTTCTTGTTATGTCTTACTGTTGCTACAAACAGGTAGACCATTAAATTTTTTTCTCCCTAAGACAATCAAGAAAGGAAAGAAAAGTTCATTAAAATTTCATATACGAGAAATGTGCTGAATGGTTGAACCAACTTGAACTGTAATTAAAGTAGAACCAAGCCTGTGTTACTGTTTCTGCTAACCTGCAGAAATATTATATAGCACTGCATATTCTCATGAGGAAGTGATGCTTTAGTGGTTACACTAAAAAGCTGGTATCTAGAAAATCTTGGCTTCAAATCCAGCCTGAACCAATCACTTATTGTGTGACCTCCGACAAGTCACTTCACCTCTTTTTTGCTTCAATCAGCTCAGCTAAAAAAACACTGGGTGAAAACAGCAGGCCTTTATTGAAGTGTATATATGCAGACCAGGCTGGGTTTATAATCCCATTACCAGGAATGTTCTGCTTGGAGAATTTTTAGCATGTATAAAGCAATATTTAAATAAATATACGGGCTTATTCTCCACCCCATACACCGTTTTTATACTTTTATCAACTCCTTTGATTTCAGTGAAGTCACATCTCTGTAAAGGTGCTGTAGAGAGGAGAATTTGGCTCATTGAATGTATGATTCAATAACCAGTAATTTTATGATGTGTGACAAATCCAGACCAGTGGGGTACAGGAGTCTGGTAGAGGGCAAATATACTGGTCACTGGATGAGTAGTTTTCTGTTCCCTGAGTGAACAGAGCAGGGGCTGCACTAGAGTAATCAGGAACCTGCTAGAACCAGTTAAGGCAGGCAGGCTAATTAGGACATCTGGAGCCAATTAAGAAGAAGCTGCTAGAATCAATTAAGGCAGGCTAATCAGGGCACCTGGGAGCTCACTTCAGTTTCTGGTGTGAGTGTGAGGGCTGGGAGCAAGAGGCGCAAGGAGCTGAGAGGGTGTGCTGCTGGAGGACTGAGGAACACAAGCGTTATCAGACACCAGGAGGAAGGTGTTTGGAGGAGGCCATGGGGAAGTAGCCCAGGGAGTTGTAGCTGTCATGCAGCTGTTACAGGAGGCACTATAGACAGCTGCAGCCCACAGGACCCTGGGCTGGATCCCGGAGTAGAGGGCGGGCCCGGGTTCCCACCAAACCTCCCAAGTGACCTGGACTGTGGGTTCTTCCAGAGCAGAGCCGGCTCCAGGCACCAGCCCACCAAGCTTGTGCTTGGGGTGGCACCTGGAGGGGGGCAGCATGGCGCTCCGGCCCCTGGGGAGAGCGGGGCCACGGCCGGGCTCGCCGCCCTCCCCCCGGCGCTCTGGCCGCCCTCCCCCCTGGCGCCCTCCCCCCGGCCGCCGGGGGGAGAGCGGCGAGCCCTGGCTGGGGCTCGCC